TTGGCCTGCCGGTGCAGTTCGTCACACCACAGCCGACCGCTTTCGTGTTCGCCCATACGATCTGAGATGAAATGCGATTTGTTAGCGGTGGGTTTCAGTTAACAAACTTCAGTAAATCAAGACTTGGCACTCGCAACATTAATGTAATATGGAGTGTTTGACAGAGTACTGTGATCATGCGTTCTTCAAAAATATCCCTTAATGTCAGAGCATTTGATTGTCTCTTCATGTACTATTGTAGTCTAAGAATTATTTTAGAGTGAATACGTGTCGAAAGAATTTCTAAATGTTAACAATGCTCCGTAGCAAATTTGTCTGATACTAAATACCTACCTACTTATCTACACGACACATGTCCCAGGCTGGTGCCGCATCACACATGCGGTACTAAGCCAACTCTAGTTCGCAGTTATTTGTTTGCTCTACTTTACTCTGTGACACATATAGTACGTATGCGTGTATAGTTAAGTACGGATGTTTTGAGAATCCCGATCCAACTCCGACAAGTTTCATCTTATAGGCTATGTTGATGTAACATAAAACTTCATGATCATTTCTTTTATAGGTTTTAACAAGTTGCTCACTCAGAGTACTTTTCTATTGGTTTGAGTAAATTACATCATTTGCTATCCATAAGGGAGATGAATTTGTGTTCATTTTTATGGTTCGGCTTTTTTGACACATGTTCTGCTGTTTATTCTTCCTAATTAAAGTAACCATAGCGATCACTAACTAGCGTTAATGGGCACAGATGCTCTAATGTTACCTGCCAATACTTTTGCTTTACCTTGACAAATTTAAAAGGAGACAACTATTTTAACCCATCTAACTATGCACAGAACAACTTATTCCGCCATTTTATACCGCCCCTTGATCACTACAAATGTAATTGGCGACAATATTTATTGGAGAGTGCTCCAGATTAAGATGACAATGATATGTGTGAAAAAACGTTTTAGAAAACAAGTGATGCTGTTAAGTGAAGCTGTCAAATAGACATAGCAACTAGAATCACCCCATGGTATTACAAGTCAATAGCCAAGCTATGTGCCGCCGAACAATACCACAAGCCATAACCCGCTATCAACTCATAAGAATCCTGCATCAACTTTCGCAAGTTTAATGTGCAGCTCAAATTGCAAATTCAGTGAAATGGAAACACGAAACTGTTGGCTGCATCCAACCTATTTTCAACACACAGACAGCCCCAGATGCTCTTGTGCCACGGTATGACATATGATAGTAAACTTGTGCTTCATAGTCCCTGTGTATCACAACACACAACATGCAATTCAATGTGGACTTGCTTGTGTATAATGTCCGCACACTTTAGCACAGCTCCTTTGTTGAAAATTGTAATCCTTGTATTCATTGAACCAAGCTTGAAATCCACTGGTAAAATGAGTTAGAGTGAATAATGTAACAACATTAGAAATATGACATTACTTTTGATATGCTGGGTTTCCTGCAATGTTTTGCCCAACCCAATTGCTCCATTTCGAGGTGATTCTTTCCTCGTTCGTGTTATGACCGAATTGACAAGTGTCACTCTGTCGCTGCGCTTTCTCTGCTAATTCATCGTCCCAATACTGTCAATGGAAAAAAGGTAATGCAGTCAACGGACCACACAGTGCTCGCGAGTTGAAATCTTCGGCTTTAAAGTATAACCAGAAATCGCCCCCACACTTCAACTATTTTCAACCGTTGTCAGCAATATTCTGATACATTGTAACCAAAGAACAGCAGTAAAAGTTCCAACTTTCATCCGATAATTCTTGATCATCTATTCGATTTTCACTTACGTACCAACAAGCATTTAAGTAGAAATGCTTTAAACATGTGGTAACAATATGAGAAATTTAACTGCCCAAAATTGTTGATAAGTGCCTCAGGTGGATGCGGGTGGAAAGGCAAACTGTGCATTCATAATTTCAAAGTACGCTCACCAGCTTGGGTAGTTGTTTGGCAGACGGTTGCCCTGGAACTTTGCACGCCACCACCTTGAGACGCGCAGCGTTATGTAGGCGTAAAAGCGTAGTCTTTTGCTTGTTTGTAATGGCGCTGCATTCAAGGGCAAGAAACAGCATAAATGATACCCACAGATTCATCCTTGTGCTCCTAATTTCACTAGACCATCGTACAATGAATTTATAGCCTTGCAACCTTCTTGTCTAATGGCTCCATTCCATGTGATTTAACGATTCGCACTGTGAAAAAAGCATTACACAAATTGATTATGGTTTTGTGTGCACCAGGTGCAATGTGCAGAATGAAACTAATGTGACAATTTCTCTCCCCTAAAAAATAGCCCTTTAGCCTTTACGTCTGAACAGTACAATTTAAAGTCACGGAATTGTGTGGAACGTTTGGTTGCCTGATGAGCGGTCTCAATTGTCACACCCGTTTTGACATATTGTGTTGCCTATAGTCAGATATACATGCCAGGTTTATTGGACACCATTGAGTTTGTAGATTAAACCGTCCTTCATTTTGACCATAGAATAAAATTGAAGCATAATGTAGCAAACTACAAATTCCACTATGAATAGCAACAGTCATCATCATCCTCATTATGCACGTTAGCTGCAGCTTGAAAACACCACAACTATTGTGCAGCAATACAAAGCCTAGAAGAAGAATAAAAGCGATAGAGACGAGCCATCTGACGCCCTAGTAGCGGATGGGAATTGTTCCGGAATGCTAAGAGCCGGCTATCATACCGCAAAACGAGAGCTATATTATGTCTAACGAATGAGAATGTGATTGGAGTGGGAGGCTTTGCGGGAAGGGGTGGACCAAGGAACTCACAACGTAAAGGCCATTGGGGCCGGCGCCTAGCCATATCAGCAAGTGTTTCCAACCAAACGTATTCATCGTCCTTAAGTCCCCAGCCAGGCAGTCGGGAATCACCAACTGACGCCAACTTCAAAATAAAGGTTTTCATCATTTCCCTCAACCAACTCATCATTTGGCCTCCCCTCTTCTTCTTCCAACTGCAATCCCGACTCGTAAACAATGCACGTAGCCAGAGTCGGTGTGCAGGCATGCGCAAAGCGTGTCCCAGCCATCGGAGCCCCGTGCGCGATATAATGGTGCTGAGCGGTTCACTCGCTCTTCCTGCAACAAATGCGTGACGCAGAACACGCTCATTGCTCACGCAATGCTCCCATCAGACATAAGCTAAGCTGCGAAGACGACACTGCTAGAACGTGACAAGCCTATTTATTTCTGTCGACCGGATGGGCCGGGTTTCACAACCGTATAAGAGGGTTGAACGAACGGCTAAATTATACACTCTGCCCCTCAGCGTGAGATTGACATCGCGTCTGCGCCACAGGTTGTGGAGATTAGCAAAAACATCACCAGCTTTTGCTATACGGCTTGTAATCTCAGCTTCATTCCCACGGGTGCTACTATAGCTGTCCAGGTACTTGAATTCCTGAACGATTTCTAGCTGATCACCGCCAAGTGTCAGCGCAGGAGTGGGTCATTGCCGATCTTGGAGAAGCAGTTTGCATTTCGATGGAGCAACATAAAATCATTGACTGCCAGTGCTAATCGGTCCAGTGCAGCCTGGCACGTTTGCGCTGTCACATATGAGTGCCAACTCGTTCGCATAATCCAAATAAATAAGTCGCTCACCAAGAAGTAGCTCTACAATATCTAGGTCGTGTCCAGCGAATGCCGTTTACATGACTTCATCAATAGTGAAGTTAAATACGAAAGGTGACAGCGGGCAACCTTGTCTCACACTGCTGTAGAAATGGTATTGCGGCGAGAGTTTGTCATAAACCTTGAATATGCTCAAGCTATGTGCGTACAGCCCTTTGCTAATGTTTACATATTTATGGCGCACACCTATACTCTGTAGACCGTTCTAAATGGCCCATCCAGCCATCGAATCGAAGGCGCCTTTGATGTCGAGAAACACGACAACGGTGGGTCCCCAATAAACATGGTGGTGCTCCAACAATTGACGGAAATTGAAGATGTGTCGATGCAGCCTCGATTTCGACGAAACCTGGCTTGCTCTTCGCGGATCTGGCTTTCACGAACGCCAGTCAGTCTGTAGAGAAGGACAGAGGCAAAGAATTTAGAGGTCATTAGGATCCTACTGATCCCTCTATGTTTGCTGCATTCCGGACAAGATCCAACCTTAAAAAGTTGGTCTACGACGGAGCGGCCCCAGTCTGTCGGAATAGTTTACTTCTCCCATTTTCTATTAGCAACTCTTGTGAGTCATTCATAAGAGCAGGACCACGAATTTGTAGCGAGCTGGAGGAATTCTATCTGGACCATCAGTATTACGCAATTTCATCAGGCTGATCTCATGTTCGACTTCTGAACTTCAGGGCGGATATAAGGCGACGGTGCATGGACAAGGGCATTCAATGTCCGAAAAAGAAAACGATAACTCAGATTAGTTAAACTGACTTGCAAAGTGTTCGGCCCAACGCTCCAAGCGTTTTGACAAACTGTGAATCGGCAGTCCAATTTCGTTGTGTATTCTCACGCTAAAACTAGATCTCCTGCTGCCTATTTTCCGTATCAGACGGAGTCATTAAAGCTGGTTACCAAATGCAGCGGCTGTTCCCATTTACAGGGCGCAATGAGAGCACCATGCTAGCAAGCAGTTTTGCCCTGAGAATTTTACGCGTCTCATTGTATGCGCTTCCAGCCGGAATACGTCGGCGATCATCAATGAGTTTCAGATACTTTCTGGAGACGAAATATCTTGGTTATCCAATTGCTTTGCCGCCTGACGATATGCCTCTTAGCAGTAAGGTTTGGCTAATATGCGAACAGTGATCTCCATCCTTGTTCAGTGGACGCTTACTCTGCCCAGATGCCAGCGTAGTTTGATAGGTATCTAGAAAACCTGGCTTCGCCAGCTGGCAGGGGTCAATGCGATCGTAGTGACGTTACGGACGTCCGCCGAAACCCACCCTTAGGTTGGCACACATGATAGCGTGATCGAAGTTCATGCTAGGGCTCCGAATCGGGCGACAATTTTGGACACAGCCTCTCCAGCGGTAACTAAACGCGATGTGATCGATTTGCGTCCATGGCTGGACCGAGACTGGTGAGCGCCAAGTCACCCTTCTGCGGGTGCTGTGTCAAAAGTTTATGATCGCGAGAAAGCGACGTGCATCTTCATACAGCTGCAGCAATCACTCACCGTTATCTTTACGGGAGGCTACACTATGTTGGCCACCCAGATTAGGCTCATAAGAGGAGAAATGTCTGACTTGGGCGTTTAGACCGCCAACCCACACCATAGTATCTGTGGTTCTTTTGAAAAGAAGAAGATCGTTGAGTTGCTGATAGGAGGCAACTTTCACCGATTCAATTATACAGTTTGTAGGGGCGTAGGCTGCAATGAAAAACTGGCGCCACTTATTCCAGCGCGACTTCGTAGCATGGAATGAACCATCTACTCTAACTGCGCACAACTGACTGTTGACTGAGGTCGAATCAATCGGGACAGCTTCATACCGGGGACTCAAAACAATGCCGAGGCCAACTTGACCGGCAATTGAAGCTGCATTATCGCCAGGAAGGTGTATTGAGAATGTGCGGTCATTGTCGCATTTGGGGGAAAGCAGGGTAACCACAGAGCTCGAATTTTACAGGCGGATTTCTGATGAACAGCAAATATCGTTGATATGGTCTCGTGTGTTCGAACACGTGCTGCTTGTTAGCTAATCTGCAGCAAAGTGCGCACGTTGAGGCATGCCAGTCTTAGCGAGGATCGAAGTCTCTAAATGGAAACGAAAGAACTGACACCTACCGTTTGGTTAAACATGAACTCGTTGACTGAATTGGAGCGACGTCTGCGATTGTATGTGAATTGAAATTGGCATAAAAGCGATTTTTCAAGCAAGCTAGGGAAGATTTGAAAATTTGAATATTAAAAACATGGGGATGAAAGGGAAGTTGGTACGGGAAGCTAAGGATAAAAAAGCGCAAGTGAAGGAATGAGAAGCCGGCAGGGTCTAAGCAGTAGCATCCAGATCCCTATCCATCCTGCTCGATGCATCAGTTAGAGCGCCGTTTATTATTCTCTGCAACGGGCAGGGAATCAGTTGATTGGTAAAGGAAAAGGTCGTTGTGTATTGCGTAGGCAAGCTACTGTCAGGTTGCCCAGGCGTAGATAGGAGCACGATTAGTGTTCATAACCAAATCCTCTGATTCAAAACTTTACCGCAGTGGAGCGAAGTTTTAGCATTGAACCAAAGAGAGCCCGTTTTATGGAGTAAGAAGCGACCTTCACTCTAACACCCAACCTGGAGGGAAAGGAGACTGAGTTTGTCTGGCTACTAACCATTGATCAATCTGGCAAGAGTGGTTCTGTAGGTGCTAAAAGCATCACCCAGCATAGCCAAATGGATCACTCAAGCACAAGATTCATCGCACTACGGTAAGGTTCAGTCTCATCAAGATGGATGTTCAGTCTCATCGCGATGAACAGTTAGCTACATTCGAATGCCTTGTCCATGGCAGTTTTGGCACAATTGTCTATTCATCGAGGTAATAATGTAGTAATATTTTCGAAATCACTTTGGCATCATTTTGTGTGTAAGCTTTTCTCAGATCTAGGAACTCCATTCTGAAAAGATTATCCTCCCAGATTACGTCAACTTTTGTCGGTTTACTAACTAGCCAAAACAATTAAATTGTGGTTTCTTTTTGAAAAACGTTGTACTTTGGGTACATAAGCACCCAGGCTAGTCATTGTGATCATAAGCATAAGCACTCTTGCCTATGAAGCTAATTCTGTCTCGGCAACCTGGGAGGTAACAGAGGGAACGTTCAGTTGGATATTGATTTTCTGCTTCACCAAGTGCCTCAATGCTCACCATTAAAAGTAACCAATTGTTCTTTGCGTTGGGCTGAACATTATCACCGAAGAAGAATCAGTTCTGCTATCTACACGCTACCTAGGAAACAAACAATGTTTCATCTGTGACTTCCTGGACATCGCGTGACGACAGCGTTACCACAGTTCCAGCAGCTTCGAAGACCCCTGAAAGGAAACTTTAGCCGGAACGCTTTTTGTCCACTGTGTTCATGAGACATATGCTGGTGGCTGGCGTGACATAACAAAATAAG